CCCTGATGCTGGGAAAGATTGAAGGCAGGAGGAGAAAGGGATGACAGAGGATGAGATGGTTGGATGGTATCACCGACTCAATGGACCTGAGTGCGGGCAAACTCAGGGAGATAGTAAAGGACAGGAAAGCCTAGTGTGCCGCATTTCGTGGGGTGGCAAAAAGCCGGACAGGACTTAGGGACTGAAGAACATACCTTTCACTGTTGGTGGGAATGGAAACTCATGCAGCCACTATGGAGAACAGTATAGAGATTCCTTAAAAACTAGTCTTTGATATATTTTGAGTTAATTGCTTATTATGGAATGAGGCAGGGTTACAGCTTCAGTCTTCTGCATTTGACTATTCAGTTGATCCAGTGCCATTTGTTGAAAAGACTAATCCTTCCCACTTAGATGATCTTGGCATTCTTGCTGAAACTCAGTTGACTGTAGATAGGTGGGCTAATTTCTGAAATCTCAGTTCTATTAATCTACATGTATATCCTTGTATCAGTATATGTACTATACCACTTTCATTTTCATTACCATTGCTTTAAGATAAGCTCTGAAATTAGGAACTGTGAGTCCTCCTATTCCACTGTTCTTTTTAAAGGTTGTTTTGTGTATCTCACTGTGACCCAATGGTTGGTCTGCTTAAAACTAAACCAGTGGAAAGAAGTAGATTTTTATAACTGATAGAAGCTTCCACATGCAGATATGCCAGAGCAATGTCAAGTGTGTGTGTGTGATAATACAATCATGGAGTGACCTCTCACCACTTTTGCTATATTCAATTGGTTGGAAGCAAATAATAGGATCCGTCCACATTTCAAGGGAGTAGGTTTTCCAGAGCTTGAACATGAGAAGTGTCCTGGTGTCTGTCTGTGAAAACATCAGTGCATTTTTTAGCATCTATCTAAATGTAAATAGCAGCAAATTGCCCTTTGCCGAATTATCTCTAAATTAAAAACTTTGACGACTTCAGTAAATATCTGGTGACACTAATTAAAATCAGGTGGGTACTAAGTGCAACCCAAACATTTCATTCTGACAGAGTACTTGCAAGAATAAACATAAATATGTGTGCAGAGACACACACACACAAATATGCCAAATCCCACCAGCAGTACTATGAATCATCATGGCCCAAGTAGTTTAGCAAATGGGATTCTTTTTTACGCTGAAAAAAAGTATACTGAAGGGCAAAAATCTGGATAATTCCATTTTTTCCAGTTATAATTATTCATGCCAAAATATCTAGATATCTGGGTCAACTGTACATTACACCTCGTTTCTTAAAAAATATCTTTATTTGCCCTCATTGATGTCATACTTGAGTTCCATATGTGGGCTCCCCAAGTGTGCAATAGTGAAGTTTTGTTGTTATAGCCTGCCAGGCTCCTCTGTCCATGGAATTTTCCAGTCAAGAATATCAGAGTGGGTAGACATTTCCTTCTCCAGTGTATCTTCCTGACCCAGGAATTGAACCCATGTCTCCTGCATTAGCAGGTGCATTCTTTACCTCTGAACCACCAGTGAAGCCCAGGGAAGTTTCACCCTACATTAAAAATATAACATAAAAGAGTTTTGCGGTAGGTATTGCAGTTCTAAACTATCTGCACCCCTTTTCTGTTGGCTGATTTGTTTTACGCTTCTTCCCTTTACTAAAATAGCAGAAACATCTGCAACTCCTCTCTCAATCAGTACAACACTTTATGAGTCCCAGATTTACAAATAGTATCAGTTACATGCAGTAAACCTATTCTTGGTCTTATTAATTACTTTCCATCAACTTATCCCTCCGGCATTTTGGTTACAAAAGCATGCTGACAATCAACAGTAATGGTTTTCAGTTAGTTATTTGACAACTATGGCGTTTTGCAAAGAGTTTCTTATTAATTATTTAAAGTATCAGTGCCATGGGGAGGCACTGCTTGTTCTCTTATAAATCATATTCACTTAACTATAGCTGTTTTTCTCCTCTTCTCTTCCCACTTCTCTATAGAAATTTTAGAAGTCTAAGATAAAGACATTCTAAGGTGCATTAAGTTGTTTTAATCTTTTATAAGGCAAATTTTTTATCATCTGAGCCATAGTAAACTCACCCCAAGTCTTAAACCAGACTCTGATTTTAAAGACATGTCACTCCCCATATGTTTCTCTAACACTGGGTAAGAAAATGAACATAAGCAATAAGTGTATCACATGAAACATATTTTAACAAATCTCTTAGATGGTATTCTGCTTGCATCTCAGTTTCTGGGAAAGATGATGATTGATGAATCACTAAATGCGTATGATCTGAAGTTCGCATGGGAAAAAGGTACATTGGGAAACCTTTTATTCAGAGGTTGTGGGCAAATGATGTGTGAAATTGTTGACAAATTGCCTTCATTAAGCTTTTGAAGTGGACATTTTTTTTTCATAAATTTGGCTTCTTTTCAAATGTGACTTCGCAGACTTTTAAGACATTCACTGTTAAATTACAATTTGCAATAATATTTGTCCTTGAAAATCTTTATTCTTGAAAAAAGTGGTAGAAAGTTTAGAGTTCTCTTTGACAATACTTACATGGATAATATTCAGTTTCTGAGCAAAACATGGATTTCAATGCTCCCCTATTTCCTCCAGATGAACAAAGGGAATAGGGATGAAATAGGAAGACCTTTTTTTGTCAACTATTGACCTCTCAATAACAAAGTCTTTTGTCAAGGGGCCCCCTATTGACCCTTGAAATTATAGCAATTCCATTATAGCTGTCTCTTTTCAGCTCAGTGTCATACAGTGTGGAGGATAAGACTGTGGTTTTATAGTCTGATTGTTGGGGGTTTAAATCTCAGTTCTGCTACTTTCTAGGGGTGGGACTCCAGGCAACCAGCTAACTTTTCTTTGTCTCAATATAGCCTTTACCTGACATACAATTGACTATTGAAATATGATAGCACATATTATTATATATTTGGAGAATCAGCACAAATATTGGTCTGAACTGTGAAGACCAAACATCTATCCAGGTTTCTGTAAACATCTGTACTTGCCTATAAGCCCATTGTTTAAGGAATATACTTTTGGTTCCTATATGACAAATATTTAGGCTTTTTCTCCTCTGGGGATCATTTTTGTAGAGAACAGATAACATATTTCCTTCATGCATTGACTTGCTTTTAAAAGGTTTTCTTGCAAATCACCTCCTTTCTTCCTCACACAACTCTGTAGTATGTAAACAGCCAGATAGCTAATCAGTGTTCTGAGACAGTTATTGAACAAATGAAAATGTGGCAGATCTTTGTTTCTCCAGATAAGGGGATCAGATCACTGAGAGGTAAAGTAAGCTGGCCAATGATACAACCAGACAAATAGAGCAAAGACTGAGATCCAGAAATCTGCCCCTCTGTCTTCAACTGTCAAAAAGTCTTTAAGTATATATAAATGTCAGCTGGTCCTGGTCCTACACTAAGTAGGTTTATCTGATAGAGATTGTCCTCTCTAATAGTTTACAATCTGAAAAACACAGAACTTTGACTCAGATATTCAAGGAATATGGTATCATTTTCCAACTCTGGCTGCATTTTCCAGTCATCAATTTTGCCAATGAATATCCTGCAATCTGAGAGGTGGGGTGGATGAAGACGGAATCAGCAAGTGAAATATTGATTTGCTTTTAATCCATGGTAAGGAAGAGTTGTTTGGAAAATTCCTGTCCATTTCTCAATGTTTTAGTCTATGTCTGATTCAGTTCTTCTGTGTAGTTTTCAGCATGGGTCTTATTTTGGAGCTTATGTTTCAAGATTGAATTCAGAGTTTGAACTCTACTGTCTGGCTTTCAGTTATTCTTCAAGGATAAGTTTTTGCTGTGTTTCATTAGAAGGAGCAGCCGTAGTGGTTGGGAAGTTAGTAACATCCAGCTTCAAGAAAGTCACTATTTGACCAACATGGCTATGGTGATACCATCAACCCTTCTCAATTCAGATACCTTAATGTCCAATGGACCTGTTGTTCAGTTGCTAAGTCATGTCAGACTCTTCACAACCCCACGGACTGTAGCCCGTCAGGTTCCTCTGTCCTTGGAATCATCCAGGCAAGAATACTGGAGCGGGTAATCATTCCCTTCTCCAGGGGGATCGTCCCAACTCAGGGATCAAAACCAGGTCTCTTGTATTGCAGGCAGATTCTTTACCAGCTGAGCCACCAAGAAAGCACATACTATCTCCTGGAGTTTGCTCAAATTCACATCCATTGTGTTGCTGATGCTCTCTAACCAACTCATCCTCTGCCACCCCTTCTCCTGTTGCCTTCAGTTTTTTCCAAAGTGGACTATAAAGTCCAGATCTACATGTTCCTTTGCTTGAGAGTCAAGGTTAAGAGAGGATTCCAAAGATACAAACCTCACCCTTAGGGAGTGTGTTTTACCTCTGGGCTCTCTACCACCTAGAGCGTTTCAGAGTACTGACTCAGAAGAAAGATGGAACCGCAGTGATTCACAAGAGGCCACTCATCTCCAGGCAGCCTGGATGAGAAACTGATCTACTCCAGTGATGGCTGGATTAGAAGCAAAGTATCTCAAAATACCTTTTCCTTTCCTTTTTTTTGGCTGTGTGGCATGTGGGATCTCAGTTCTCTAACCATGGATGGACTTGCACCCCTTGCATCGGAAGCTCAAAGTCCTAACCACTGGAACACTGGGGAAATCTTTCAAAATGCCTAATTCTTGATTCATATTCCAGGGGACCTGAAGAGTAGAAAGTCATTTCTATGAATCTGCACGTCCTCTACCATCTCATGATGCTCTTGGAAGACTTGTGGCTGGAGTGACTCACAAGGTTTAGGGCGGAGGAATGAGGAATTGTCACACACACACACACACACACACACACACACGCATACACAACACAGACACTCACACAAATAATCATACCAGGACTGGTTGCTTAAAACTGCAAAAAGTAATGAGAGGTACACACTTCTCTGCGACAGGTGTTGGGTGTTACTGCCCCAGCCCTGCTGCTAACTGCTGTGCTTACCTGCAGAAGTCACTCTGTGGTTATGGACCTCAGTTTCGCAGTGTTTACATCCTGGGATCATTGCTCCCTCTTCTTCTTCCACACATGAGTCTATAAGCGGAGGAAAAGAGTAATAACTATTTTCAGAATTTATTTCTATATTAAAAGAATGACTGGTGTCATTAAAACATATGATAGAGATACAATTAATACAGGCTAGGAAGGTATGCTTTCTTTGGGTGCTCCAAATCAGACACGAATAGCATTTGATGCATTTTTCTCTTTGGTTAAATCATTTGTATGATAGGAGAAAGCCATAAAAAATCAGAAAATATTTTTAAAATGGAGTCTAAAAAAAGCAAAATGTTTTTTCTCTTTGGGGCTTGATTTAAAATATCTAAAATGAGTTTCAGTCCTGTACAACTTTAATGCAGATCAAGTGTTTTAAAATATTTATGATAAAGAAAATGATTCCATCTGGGCAGGGAATTTATTACTGGAATATCAGACCAATTTGAATTGAAGCCACTGTGAGATTAATTTCTTCTCTGCTGCTGGAATATAAATGTGTTCTGACAGCTGCTTTCTGTAACTGAACTGTACTTATTTGCATGCAGCATCTTCTACTCAACAAAATCATAAATATCAGAGGAACTCTGAATGGTTTAACCAACAAACAAAGATTGATTATTCACGCAAATGCCAACTTGGGATTTACTATAAATAAGAAAGTATTGGCCAGTGCCTGTTTTGAAATCAACACTGGTTGTTTACAGCTTTCGGAAAGACAATCATGAATTTCAGAAGAACTTGCTGATGTTAAAAAAAAAAAGAATTACTCAAAGGGAAAAGACGTGGCCTTGATCAAACACATATTTTTCAGATTTATTAATGATTAACACATCAGACACTCTTTTGGATTATGTTTCCCTTTCACCATGGCTAATAGCTGAACACTATTACAGAATTAACATGTCAGGAAGGCTGTGTAACCATTTAAGCATTTATGTAATATAATCGGCATCTGAGTAGGTACAGTAAGAGGCTATAATTTATGCATTGATGATGATAAAAGAGAAGGATTTCAAAGAAAGAAGCTGAATTTGTCATGCTTTGTTCAGGGACATGTGTGTGCTCAGGCACAGTTTCATCTGATTGAGAGGCTATAGATTCAATCAAAAGATCTGAAAGTCAGCTTCGCTTTCATATCAATAAAAGGACCAACTACCTTTTAGAAGCAAATAAAAGTGAGCAAACACCATTAAAATTGAGACCAATTGAGAATAAAAGTGGTGTGTAAACAAAATGGTGCAAGATAAAATTCTCACTCTTTCTCAAAAATCATATAAAAAATCGTATCTTCTTATTTCCCCCACTTAAGAAGAATTTCACAACTAACTGAATGTCTTTGCCTAGACAGCCTTCTTTTCTAAGCACTTCAGCCACTGCCAGAAGGTATCTAAGGCAGCACTGGAAAGAGAACACAGACATGAAATCCAGTATGTAGTGTCTATGCATGCATGTTCAGTCACTTCAGTCCTATCAGATTCTTTGTTACCCCGTGGACTGTAGCCCGCCAGGCAACTCTGTCCATGGGATTTCCCAGATAAGAATTCTGGAGTGAGTTGCCATGCCTGCCTCCAGGAGATCTTCCTGATCCAGGGATTGAACCCGCGTCTCCTGTGGCTCCTGTGGCTCCTGTATTAGCTTCCTGATAGATTTCTTTACCTGCTGAGCCATCAGGAAAGCCCCGAGTGTTATGCCTCTCTGTTAATAGTGATCTTTGAGCCAAAAGGAATGTCCTGGAAAGAAAAAAAATGGAGGAAGTGTGGAAGAAGGGAAGGAACTGACAGGAAATTCTTTCTCTATGTGTTCCAAAAAGAGTTACGTTCAACTAATTGTAAACAGTTTATATTCCCTGAAAATGACCAAGACATTCTCAGTTAAAAGACACCAAGTATCCACTTTAAATAGCTATAGTGCAATTCTCAGTAGCAAACTCTCTACTTCCACTCTTCAACAAGGACAGAGATTTTGTAAACAACTAAAACGAATTCCCTGGTGGCTCAGCTGGTAAAGAATCGACCTGGAATGCTGGAGACCTGGGTTCGATCCCTGGGTTGGGAAGATCCCCTGGAGAAGGGAAAGGCTACCCACTCCAGTATTTTGGCCTGGAGAATTCCATGAACTGTATAGTCCACGGGGTCGCAAAGAGCTAGACATGACTAAGTGACTTGCACTCACAAAAACAAATTCCACTAGTGGCAAAATTGAGTGATACTTAGACAAAGTGGAAAGAGAACAATATTAGCAGTTTCTCTTGCTTGAAGTCTAGAATGCTCTAGAATCCACTGGACTTTTACATTCCAGGGACTCTCATTAAGCATGGTCAGCATTTGCTACAGAAATGGTTTTTCTGAGTCATTCTTGGGGAGAAAAAAGAAGAGAGTTGTTTGGAAGGATTCAATCACTTAATTCTTGCATTTCTGTCAGTAGGAGCATGGTGGTAAAAATGGAATCATGGGCTATATTATTCAGAAGTCTTCTTTTTTAATAGAAAACCAGATGTTCTTAGGCTTTCTACTGAGAGACTGGAAATGGAAAAGTAGTATTCAGTGCTCATTTACAGCTATTTTCTTCTCCCCCTTTCCTTCTCCCTCTTTTCAATTCCTAAGACCTAATTTTAGGTGGATCAAAAGTGGTCTCTTATAACATGGAGCTTGCCCAACCAAGAATCACAGCATTATTGAGACTACGTTCTAAAAGGTCTGCTGCTTACCTGTCATGTCCACTGTTAGCTCCAGGACCTCACAAAAACAATTGATTGAGGTTCATCTGAATCAAATTGCCTAGAATTTCAGAAGTAAGAGAATTCCAGAAAAACATCTATTCATCTATTTCTGCTTCACTGTCTACACTAAAGCCTTTGACTGTGTGGATCACAACAAACTGCAGAAAATTCTTCAAGAGATGGGAATACCAGACCACCTGACCTGCCTCCTAAGAAATCTGTATGCAGGTCAAGAAGCAACAGTTAGAACTGGACATGGAACAACAGACTGGTTCCAATTTGGGAAAGGAATACGTGAAGGCTGTATATTGTCACCATGCTTATTTAAATTATATGCAGAGTACATACTGTGAAATGCCGGACTGGATGAAGNATGGACATGAGTTTGAGCAAGCTCTGGGAGTTGGTGATGGACAGGGAGGCCTGGTGTGCTGAGGTCCATGGAGTCATAAAGAGTTGGACACGACTGAGTGACTGAACTGGGGATGACTTGGGGCCAATGAGTGGAAAAGTCTAAGCAAGGCTGATCCTTCTCGTCCAGCTGGCGAATCAATAGTCATGTTGGAATTAGAAATAAATTTTAATATATTTTGTCTTTTGATAATGAGAAATTACCCAGAAACTTTTACTCACTGGATACCAAGCAGAGACAGTGTTGTGGAGTGTTTGCTGTTTGTCCAAGAAAACTTTATTCATGGAACACATTACTGGATCGTGGTGTGACGAACACTCTTTGGAAAATGTGGTTTTGTTTACTCTTTCTCTCTCTTCTTGGTCCAGCCAGAGTTCATATTTCTCCTGGTGTGCCCTGGATCCTCTCCTCTAGTCCAGTTATCTTCAAGTTCTCATGGAGCCACAGATCGGCTCAAATTCTCATTCTTCTGGAGGGACAGGTTTCATGTTTCGTCTGTGATAGAAAGCCAGCACTCAGTGCAGTATGTGTTGGCAGCCAAGTCACTATTATGACTTTCACCTCTAAGTCTACTTCCTGCCCTCTTGAATTGTGGTTGCCTCTTTTCCTTCAGACAACAAAGTTGTGCTACCATGATAGATTGCTTCCATTCCCCCGACCACTTTCTTTTTATCTCCTTTTTGAGGCTGAGGGCTTCTTCATTGGTTCCAGAGATGGGTTGACTCACTAAGAGTAGGAGAAATGACTCCCAGTTTCTTCTCTGTTGGCCTGTGGTCACAGTTCCTTTCACTTGTCAGGTGAAAATCCAAGCCAGTATGAGCTAAGATCTTCCCAGGAGATTATAATGTTGATGTTGTATTGATACAGTTTGTCCATGAGTCTTCATGCTTCCCAGGGGGTGCAGTGGTAAAGAATCTGCCTGCCAGTGCAGGAGACGTAAGAGATGCAAGTTTGATCCCTGGGTCAGGAAGATCCCCTAGAGTAGGAAATGGCAACCCACTTTAGTATTCTTGCCCAGGAAATCCAAGGACAGAGGAGCATGGCGGGATATTTAGTCCATGGGGTCACAAAGAGTCAGATACGACTGAGCATGCACGCAACCAAATATTCACATCTCAGGAGGATTGAACGCCTGTAGCCTTTCTTCTTCACCCCAAAGTCAATTGCTTTAGTGTATTTAGTATAGCTAAAATGTTGATTTGTTCTTTTGTCAATTCTATTTCTTTCCCTGTTCACTAAGCAACAAACACACAAATTCTATTACTCAGGGTATGATCAATTTACTTATTTATTATATGCTGGATATAATGGACCGAACATATTAAAAAAAATGGATCTTTGCCCTTGAGAATCTCAGAATCTAGAAGAAATGTATGTAAATAACCAACAAAAAAGGTAATTAGTAATACACAGAAGACATCATATAAACAGAAAAATAAGTGACTGAGCAGAAGAGGCATGGAAGGAAGTTACTTATACACTCAATATGAAAAAAATAATTAGATCTGTTCCTTGAATGATAAGTAGAAATTCTTCAAGTAAAGAAGGTATAGGGGTTTGAAAGTTTTTAGGAGGTGGAAATGAGGAAAAGAGACAGAGAGGAACTGTTCTTTGGCTGTGAGCCATATGGCTTCTAATCTAAACAGTATGTGCTTAGTCATTCATTTGTGTTTGACTCTTTGTGGCCCCAAGGACTGAACCCCACCCAGCTCCTCAGTCCATGGAACTTTCAGGCAAGAATACTTGAGTGGGTTGCCATTTCCTTTTCCAGGGGATCTTCCCGACCCAGGGATTGAACCAGGGTCTCTTGTGTCCTGTATTGGCAGGTGGGTTCTTTACCACTAGCACTACCTGGGAAGGCCAATTTAAAAAATGGAACCCATAGAAGCAAATCTTTCCTCATATACT